CTGCGCCGGGGCGAGCGTCACGCGACTCGCGTCTGGCAACCCTCTCGGCGCGCCTCACTATCCATAGCCCTTCGATTTCTCAGCTCACCAGCAACGAGGCCATGGCAAATCGGCGCTCCTCTCACATGATGGGCGACGGGTTTTGCGAAAATTGCATTGAGACTAGAGAGCGTAGATAATTTGGGGTTGCTGGTGCCGGTCTCATGATCGTGGGTGTTGACGATTTTCCCCCACTTTGAAAGAAAGAAGGTCGTGTTGTATGGTGTACGAGTTTTTATAGGCTTCTATTTTTAGAACGCTCTTCTTTTTGTGGAACAGCCTTTTTGATGCATGAGGGGAGCGCCTACGAAGAATAAAGGGTTTTGTAAGAAGATCCATACAAAAGTACACATACATATCCATAAATCAAGCGAGAGAAAGTGCTAATCGAGTATTAGTGGATATAAGGTTTTTATGTGGTCACAGTCGAAATTATTGCTGTGTAATAGATCAGCACATATAACTTTTTACTATTTGACGAGTTCGTTTTTCCTTTGCCTGGGCGACCTTGTCCATTCTTTTTCTTTTGCGAAGCGTTCTACGTGTCTTGTACCAAATGTCCTTCGAAACTGTCATATCACAATGCTAGTCGTCATGAATCATTTTGTGCTCACAAAAATAATGCGTAGCGCATTGCCGGAGCCATTGCCCGGGTTTTTTCTCGCAGCGTAAATGAGAATGTGCGCCTATTCAAGACGGACTCGCTCGTTCGCTCGCTGACGATCCGCATCTGTTGTCAACGCATACATTGCGCAGCCAATGTCATTATCGTCTTTGTGTGAGACGCGCTCTGAGGTTTTTGTGGCCGCGTGTGGTGTGGTGCACCTTTATTCCTTTTTCTTCAACCAAACAATAAAGATCGTTCGTAGAATGAAACGAACGACGAAAACAACTTCTTTTGTTCTTTCGTGCAAGGGAGGGAACTGGTGTGCGTGTGGGGCGTGAGTGCAAGTGAGGAGGAAAAGGACACGTGCATTTATGGTAATGTATAGGTTGTTGTCCTAGTAGAGTGGGGCTATGGAGGATTGGGTAATTGTAGAGAGGGGTGAACTTGTTGCCAAAATACTGCGATGGATGAATCATGTGTTCTGGGGATGTAGTTGAATTTTGGGAGGGCAAGCGTTAGGCGACAAAGCCTGCAAAATGCAAGCAGCGTA